AGAACAGTAAAGTCAAAATGTGACTCCTCTAACACTCAGTATTCTCTCTGTAGCATCCTCAAAGAACACATGTTCCCAATGATGCAGCCCATGAAAGTTAGCTCTGCATAAGACAAGGTCTGTGTGTGGGAGAAAGCCTCATAAGCATGGAACGGAGACTATTCATGCATAATTCACTTCAGAAAGACATAATAACAAAAAGTCTGATTTATATGTCATTCTTTCCTCTTATATTTAATTTTACTGTTCATAATTTTAATTACCAGGAGTCATCTGAAATACAAATTTTTTAAAAGTGAAAATTTCTACAATAAACTGTAGTAGATCTAAACTGTTGCCTTTCTGGATAGAGTGATGAAATTTCATGCTTCTCTGTGCTGTCTTTGCCAGTTTCCATCCTTACCTTGTCTGCTATGTCCAGGCAATACAAACCTCTCACAGCACTCACACTATAGCCTTCTCCTTTATGATCCATTGTGCTTATTGAACAGATCAGTACTACCCACACTTTCAATCATCTCATTCTTGGATATTCTTAGAATTAGTATATTCTTTGTGGACAAGAGGAGCTAATATATTAATTTGCAAATTATTTTAGATTTAATGTAAAAAACTGATACAGACCACAAACACAAATATTTGCATAATTATGAAAATTATACATTTTTTTGTCTATAAATTGGATGAGCTAACTAAATCTTCAAACAAAATTTTAACTTTGCAGTGATCCTGGGAAAAAAAACAGGGTTAACATTACATAATCCTTATTATGGAATTATTTAGACAACTATAATATGACAGAATAGGCTAATAAGAGAGATACTTAGTAAGAAAATATAATGAAATATTATAGCCTCTCGAATATGTATAATCTGAAGAATTATAAAGTACTGACTAAAATAAAATATGGGAATCCTTTGTTCTTTAAATGACAAAATCTGATATAATGTGAATATAATATCATTATTTATAATACAAATAACCATATAATTAATATTGGCATTTTTTACTTTTGTGAGACAGCTGATATGACTGGATTACTTCAATCATTCTGTAAAATCTCATGAATACATGAAAAGTAGCAATAAGAACCTTCGACTTCTCAGTCTTAACCATGATTACATGCTCAATGTTCTGTTAAATAGTCAGCCATAGCCTTCTAAACATACCCCAAATTTTGAAACTTTTTGAGATGAAACATTCTCAAGACCATTATTCCCACATTATCATTGACCATTCATATCTGACAGGAAACTAAATTCCCTCTCCTGTAGTTTTTAACTTGCACACTTGAAAGAATGATTGACATTTGCTTCACAATGGGGTCATGCTACAGGTCACAGCTGTTCTTAAGATAAAAGGACTTCTGCATCTCCTCTGCTGTACCCTGGAGCTCTTTACAAGCTGATTGGTTTATATCTTTCTGAATATAAGGAAAAAGGGAAATCAGAAAGAAATTCCAGTGGTTAATAACAAATTAAACATTCATTCCCCAAATGCTGATGGTCTGAGATAAAAGGGCAGTCACTGGATACCTTAATATTTCTATATAGGACATAGTTTGTAGCTATGCAGAAAGTGAAATGCTTGTTAATTTTAAAGATGATTGGAGCCTTAAGATATGTTTTGAAACAATAGGTACAAACACTAAATTACAGTCTATATTGTGATTAATACTTATAGACCTGTTTAAAAATATATGTATTACTAAGTTTTCTATTTGTCTTAGTGGCACAGCCATATTTGAATGGAATGGCAGAAGTCACAAATCCAGCACAGCTGCTTGAAAAAGATCCAGCAAAGTTGAGACACATGATGGCTGCCATGCCACCTTTGGTTTTCATTTCCACCTGTTATATACTTGGGGATATTGGATTGATGGAAAATTCTTTATGCATCATTTATGCTTTCTCCCAGGAGTGTTGCTTCTAAGCTTATCCAGGAAAGTCCTGAACATCCTATTCTCCCCACTTTGAGGGAGATATCCTTATCTACTTGAAGGTCTTCCTTACACCTTGGAGGTTGTGAAAAAAAAAAGAAGAAGCTTTCATGAGGCTATGAGACATTCTTGAAACATCTGTTCCTCTACTTACACTGGAACAAGATATTCAAAACAAAGTAAATTCAAAAAGGTCAACAAGATCTGGTGGGCTAGAGGAGTTGGCCACAATTCAGATTTCAAGTCTGTTTCCACGATACACTCAGACAATTACATGGCATACAACTCTGCCCTACATAGAGATATATTGATGAGCAAAGTAGGGAGTGGAAAGATTATAAGAGTATGAGATGTTAGGACCTCCCCCCTGTTAGAAGTTAGCTCATGTAAAGCCACTACAATGTCATATGACCAAGGAACTACAGAATGCCAGGATTAGACATATAGACAAATTCTATAAGGTATAAATGTGAACATTGATTGTATTATGCCAGATTTGAATAATAACTGCAGCAGCTTTAGCCTGAGGATTTTTCCTGGGCACTCTGACCACTAAGAGTTAATAATACACTGCTTGGGACATGGCACCATGCCCAGGGTGATTGAAGATTTTTGTTTTGGTCTAGTGTCCTTGAAGCAACCAAAGCACCCAGCCTGAGCACAGGCTGTCATATGCCTCTAGATTCTCAAAAATTGGGTTATGGGTTTATGAGTAAGAATGATAACTCTGTTTACTAATAATGTCAAAACTTGAGGGAAAATGATTGGAAATGATAACTCTGTTCTGTAATAGATTATTAATGATGACTAAAAGATGAGGAAATGGAAGGGAAACACATGTCCCAAACCAAAAATGATATGATCTATGTTTTGGAACATCATGAATGTATCCCTGCTAACTAAATTCTGTATAAATAAAGAAACACTCTGGCTGCTAGTCAGTCAGACTGTAAGATTCTCCCGACCACCATGGCCTGGCTCACTTCCTTCCCTGCTGACTCCTCACATCCTCTGCAGACCCATCTACCACAGGGGATGGCTCCTGGCATCTTAGTTAGGGTTTTTATTGCTGTGAAGACACACCATAACTACAGCAACCCTTATGAAGGAAAATATTTAATTGAGGTGGTGACTTACAGTTTCAGAGGTTCAGTCCATTATCATCATGGCAGAGAGCATCACAACATGCAAGCAGACATGGTGCTGGCTACATCTTGATCGCACAGTATCAGGAAGTAGCCTGATAGTCACATTGAGGTAAGCTTGTGCAAAAGAGGCCTCAAAGCCTGCCCCACAGTGACACACTTCCTTCAACAAGGCCACACCTACTTAAATAAGGCTGCACTTCCCAATAGTGGCACTCCCTATTGCCTTTGGGGGCAATAATACTCAAACTACTGCACTATTCAATTAAGATTTCCATTAAAACTTTCCCCAAAATGCTGGCATTATCTCTTCTATATTTAATATAAAGGAAGCAGGAAAATTCTTTTTATTAAATGTACATTGGGCTGTGCATTTTATTTTTCCTTAGCTTTGAGATAAGGTACAAATCTCAATATAGTGATGCTCCTGATTCAATTCCCTGTGGGGTGAAGTTGAAGATATACAGCATTTTTATTTTCAGGGCATGGAAATTTATTTGAAACAAGTGCTTGATATATTATATAAAACACTTAGAAACTACCATCAAATCTTGTCTGTTGTACATATAGTACAAATTACATTTATTTTTGATTTGAAGGTCATCAGAAAGATGAATAACAAATCATTCCTTTAGGAATTAATCCTACATTGAAGAAAGACATTCACAGTTAACTTCAGTTGCTTTTTGTGTTTGTGTGTCTGTATGCTTGAATGTACAAGTGTGTGTGTGTGTGTATGTGTCATCTGTTCACACATGAACAGATGCAGACATACATGCTAGAATTTAATCACAATCATTTACATAAATTTTCTCAGAGTTGATTTTCAGAGTAAAAACTCATCCTTGCGAAGCAGCATCACATTGTGGAGAAATATCCATGGGTCACATTTTGTTGCTGTCACCAGAACTGCTGACATTGACTTATCTGTGCATTGTTCTGCCAAAGATAGACATGTCTGCAGGCGGTACCTGCGGAGACGTCTGGACACCCATTGTTCTCTGTTCTTTGATCCATGCATTCTGTTCCATTCATGTCTAAATCCTTAGGATGTGTGATCATCTGATTTTCTGACATGCTGTCACTTCTCTCTAGGTGGCAAAGTGAATGAATGTATTATTAATTTTCTAAACCCTTAAATAAAAGCTTGTATAGGAGACTTCCTTTGCCAGTAGGGGTTTTTGTAATATGTCCAAGCAGATGCTCAGGAAATGCATTCAGATGAGATCTTATCTTAGCTCCATGCCTCCTAGAAAAATGCAGCCATCAGAAGTAAGTGAGGAGAAGCTAGAATCTTTTTATTTTTTTTTGTGACTCATTGTTATCTCTTGATACTATGCACATTTCTGGCAGGTGATTGCAGTTTATAAGGCTAAGGAGCCTGTGCTCTACCTACGCACAATTGGGCCCTCTATCAGTATTTACAAACCAGAAAAATAATTCATTCCACACAAGAAAATGAAGTAAATGCTTTCATTTAAACTAGAAAAGTGTGAGCCAACACTTTCAAAGTAGAAACTAGAAAAAGCAACAACCGAATTCACCAGGTCTTCATCAATAGTCTTTCTGCTAACTTCTGAGTTTCCTAAGCATAAAGACAACATTAGATGTTTAAACACCCTTGATTGTCAATCTATACTCTGTAAACTAAAATAAATTATGTCTCTATGAGTAAGGCAGAAATATATTAATGTACAAATGGAGATATTTTAAGAGAAGTATGCATTAAACTTATGTATTATAGTAAGATACTTTATTATTTAAAAATCAAAAACAAAATTATTCTAATGTATCAATCATATGTATGTGTGGCAATTATTTTAGGTTAAAAATTAAAAATTAAGTTAAACTATTGGTGAAATTATTAAGGCCACTCCACGTAGTTAAAAGGAGATTTATTTAATGGCGTAACTTACAAATTAAAGGATAGGTAGGTCGCGGGGTCTGGGGAAGGTGTATCACAGTCCAGCGGTGTTCTCTGGAGCTCTGCTTGGCCCACCTCCACTGTCCAGGGTCCCGGACCAGAGAGCGCGCTGGCCGATCCAGATCTCGGGTCTCCAGGCGCCTCCCTTGGCCCTGCTTTGTAGGTGTGACAGTTGCCGAAGTCTCATTGGAGGTTGGAACTTCCAGATCAAAGCTACCCACTACATTAACAATAGTAATTGGAATAGAAATATTAGATTACACTAAATCATGACTCTTTAATTATAGAGTGTCTATTCTGAGCACGAATATTCAAATTGGCTTGTTCTTTTCAAATGCATTTCTTGTTTTATTTTATCAAAGACTTTATTTCTACCATGAAATGTTATTTTACAAACACTAGGATTTTTAAAATTTTATTTAAAAATATTATCCTAGGAGTATTGAGTCTGATGATCTCGATAGAAGTTTTCAGGTATTATTTGAATAATGATAATGAATGAATAACATCAAAATATAAGTTATAATATTGAGGAAGAAAAAAATAAAGCTCATACTTGAGCAAAGAGGACTTAACTGTGAAGAACAGTAGGTTTTAATCTTGTTTTCATTTTTTTTTTTTTTTTTTTTTTTTTTTAAGATTCACCTGGCTCTGCCTCTTGAATGCTATGCTTAAAGGCATGCTCCACCACCACCTGGCCTTTGCTTTCATTTCTGTAAGGGTGAAATCAATTAACTGTGTAAGTATTTAGTTACAACTTGAGTATAAACTCTACTTTTGGTAAATTTGCAATTTAATATTATTAAATGTGTATTTGACATTTCTTGATGTTGAAGATAATTTGAAGCTTGACATTTACTAGCCAATAAGCTTATTGGATTTTTAATTATCTCCAGGGAATTCAGAATGAAATATATGCAGAGCTTGCTGGTAAATATTGTTTTATACAACTTCTTGAGCAATCAATAGGAAAGATGATTCTTTCTTTAGTTGTAAATTTTAAAGAATGCAATTAACACTTACATTATTAATTAATAAGCAGTGATTGGCAACATTACAAAAGAGTAAAATGTTTGATAATATATTGTTTTCATTGTATTTGGTTAATTAAATATTGTTATGTTCACACTTTATAAGATCTGTAACCACCAGAAAATAAAATTTAGAGTAGAAAATTCCACATGTGTAAAATATATGCCTATTCAATTAAAACATCTGAGAATAAATAAAAATTATTTCCAAAACAAGATATTTTGATTGCATAAAATTATAAATAAGTAATAAATGAGCCGAGGTGAGTAAGGTAATAGATGAAAAAAGAGAAAAAATTAAATAATGAAAATATAAATTCACATACATGATTTAAATTGCTGAAAGGTCACATTTGTACTGAATTTACTCAGTTGTGTTCCTATTTGAAAAAACATCTATTCCAAACTTACTTAGGAATGAATAAAAGGAAAAACTATGAAGGAAGAAGTGATGAATGGAAATGTAACATATTTTAAATTGTCTTATTAAAAGAAACAAAGAAGTAGTTAGAGAAAACAATAGAAATGTTATCAGTTCACTGCATCCTAAAAATAGATGGCAGCCACATGTGAGTGGACTGCAACTCTTCTGTATAGCTTAGCTTCCACTACTCAAACATTCAGTTGATTCACTCTCCAAAAAGTAGCCAGAATTTGCTATTTACTAAAACACATTTATGTGTGCGCAGTTGGCAGAGTATCTTAATTTTCCTTGAGATGAGAAGAACTGTTTGAATTCCATGCTAGTAATATTGGGCTAGGAGTGTGTCCTGTGTGTGCATGATTAAATGATTTGTTGAAATCTTTATATTAATCCAAAATAAGTTGGGAAATTATAAAAGCCTATAAAGAAAGTAAAGGGATCTAAAGGATTTTTGTAGTCCATACTCAAGAATTCAAAAGCTAAAAGGAATATGTGCATCTGGAGAACTGAACTCATAGCAGCCATGAGTCTGGTCATGCATAGCTACACAATTTTCACATGATTATTTCACTGCTTGAAAAATACAAGGAAATTACAGGTCTTGTTGGCTCTGGAATGTTTCATTGCCTGGTGAAAGTGGAAGAAAGGCAAGAAACAAGTTTGTCAAGGTGTGATGATCGCAGTAACTTAAAAGGACACAAAACCCCATTGTAATTGTAATAAATAGATTTATAAATATAAAGAGGCAATAAAACAACTATTGTGAAAACAAAAGGACATTATCTAAATAATCCAAAGTTATGCTGGCAGCACAGACATTGTAAAGGCTTTGTTAAACCAAAAAGAAAAAAGAAAATTGTGGAACTGCTTCTGAGGGTTGTCCAGTGTAGTGTGTAGAGTAACGGGTTTCATCATGGAACTTTCACTCATACGTGCACTTATACTTGCCTCAGAGAGTGGACTTTAAACCTAGAAAATGAAAGAGTTTATCTTGGTGAGACTATTAGTGCATATATTGTTTTACATCAGATGGAGGATTGTGTCTACAATGTACGTTTATAAAGAGTATTTAAGCATATTTTACTACTATATAATGGAGGTTGTTCTTTTTATGTTTCATCACTTTGATTTACTTCATTTATTGATGTGGGCAGTCATGCACATGTATGTACATGCATATACCATAATGCACATGTGAGGTTGTGAAGACACCTTGTGGAAGTCTGATCTCTTTCATCCTGTTGTCAGACTTGGCGACAACACCATTACATGCCAAGTCGTCTCTCCAGGTCCCTTATTTGTCTCTAATGTTCTGTGACTAATTCATCGAAGGTTCTTTTATAATAGCAGATTACAAGTTTTCAATTTATCAAAAATTCTCCACCTGCAAACTTTGATAAACTATTAAACTATTATGTAATTTTTGAGGACTTTTGCATATTTATTTGAAATTTTACTTTAAAATAAGTCCTTTTCTCCTGGGTTTAGGCAATATTTCCAGGACAAATGTCAAAAGTACCATCTAAAGGAAAACAAAGAAGGTTCAAGGAAGAGGATATGCACTTACATTCAGAACTTTAATATCAGAATGTCCGCATTTGCTTTTATTTACCTTTTAATAATATAGTTTTGCGAAGGACCATTGTTCAAATTTTGATGAATTATATTTAAAATTGTACAGTGTTATGCATAAAACACTTTTTGACATGAAATATCATTTATCTTTCATAAACTTTTTGATGTATGTGAAACATAATTTTATCTTAAAATGATAATAAAAATTAACACAATGAAAAAGTGAAACATTATAGTACTTGTAAAATAATAGTGACATTAGTAAGAAATGAATGATTAGTAAAACTATAACTATCATTTTATTATGATGTATAAAATGTTTAAAAATATCTGACAATCTAAATTAAAATCTATATTAATATTTTAATATTGTTCTAACAATTTTACTTTGAGGAATTTATGATATTTTCTTATGCTAAAAGGCATCTTGATATAGACATGCATGACATTTTAATTAATTTAAATCATTATAAAATAATTGTCAGTTAAGCAAGAGTAATAAAGTACTACTTTAATGTATGTTATATACAAATATGCAGATACTTAGAAGTGAATATGATCTAAAACACTGTGTTCAGGTTAAAAAAAAAAGCTGCAGAAAGATACGTACAATTTGAAAAGGGAGAAATGAAGTATACAGCATCAGTGTTTAGCTTAAAAATAAAGGTGGAATGGCCAGATACATGTTTTCAAAATTCTCATGAGGTAACAAGCTTGTCGCGAGCCAGTGGTGAAGGGAAGTGGAAAAACTGTAAGTTGGCATCAAGTGACAGCAGCAGGGAGGTTGTATGTTAGGATATGTCTTTTAACCTAGTAGGTTAGTGATATAACCAGATAATTCAAAATTGCACATAATGTAGATTGTGAATGCTGATGACATTACAATAAAATTTAAATGAAACAAATTCATGATTATAATTTCATGGCTCATATTTCAATGCCCAACTGCTACAATTATGAAATTTAAATATTATAAACAGTTAGTCAATAAGTTATATTATTTTATAGGGCTTCTTATAGCTTTTTTATTTATGAAGATCAAAATAAATTTAAATAATTTCCAAATATTCAACGACTAATAAGATTATAGGAAATTAGTTTACCAATAATCTTTATTAATATAATTTATCTTTGTTTTAGATTTTTTAGTTTTTATTTATGCTCACTGTAGAAAATAATGGGTTTCAAACAAAGCCCCGGGACAGATAGTGTTAGAAGATCTCATACTAATGCTCCTCAAACTATTCTATAAAACAGACAGAAGGAACAGAGCCAAATTCATTTTATGAGGGCCAGTTACCCTGATATCCAAACCACATAAACACTCAACAAAGAGAATTACAGATAAAATTCCCTCATGAACATTGATGCAATGACATTCAATAAAATACATGCAAGCTGGGGCTGGAAAGATGGCTTAGCAGTTAACAGCACTGGCTGTTCTTCCAGAGGACCTGAGTTCAAGTTCAGCAACCACATGGCAGCTCACAACTGTCTGTAATTTTATTTACAGCAGATCTAACACCCTCACACAGACATACATGCATACAAAACACCAGTGCACATAAAATAAAAATAAAAGGTATATGCAAATGAAATCCAAGAACATATCAAAAAGATCATTTACCATGCCCAAAAGGACTTCATTCCAGAAATGCAGGGATGGTTCAACATGTGAAAAACTGTCAATGTAACCCACAATATAAACAAATTGAAAGATTAAAAAAAAAAGACGTGATCATTTCATTAGATGTTCAAAAGTCCTTTAACAAAATTCAACACTCCTTCATGATCAAAGTCTTCAAGAGATCAAGGATACAAAGAACATATCTAAACATAATAAAGACAATATACAGCAAGACAATAGCCAACATCAAATTAAATGGGAAGAAACTTAAAGCAATTCCACTAAAATCAGGGACAAGACAATGCTGTCCACTCTCTCTATATCTACTCAATATAGTACTTGAAGTTTTATCTAGAGCAATAAGACAACTTAAGGAGATCAAGCAGATACAAATTGGGAAGGAAGAAGTGAAGTATAGATGTTTGCAGAAGATATGAAAGTATACATAAGTGAGTTGAAAAAATTCTACTGGGGGAACTCATACATCTAATAAACACCTTCAGCAAAGTGGGTGGATACAAAAGAATGAGTATTCCTCTTATATACAAGTGATAAAAGGGCTG